CTTTTTATTTCACTTCTTTTGGACTGATGCATGCAACACCCGCTGAGTGCCATTAAACAGCTTGAAAGATCAAAGACCATTTTTAATATAACTCCGACTGGATTCATCTGAAAGAAGAAAGTCATATACACCTAGGATGACTTGAGGGTGAGTATTTTATGGACTAATTTTCATTTTTGGGTGAACTAACCCTTTAAGCGTCCAAACACTGTATTTAGGCATTGAGAGCTGAACAGCACATCATTCGGTGGAGGCTTTCACTGGCAGCAGGGTACAATTTGATGACACGCTACTGTGCCGTCAAACATCTGTTGTAGTTTCTGACCTGTTATTACAGAAATGAATACATGTCAGCTGGATGATGCATTCAGCATTGACAACAAATTATGACAATGTTTTGACAAAATACTGTGCCTGTTTTCCAGATCCTTTGGTGTCAGTGAGAATGTAATATTGATAAGGCCATAAGTTATTTTATATACTGTAATCAGTTACAGTCCTCCCAATGAGGAATCATTAAAACACTTCAAATAGAACCCATTACTGGCATTTTGTAATATATCTAAAATCTAATAAAGAAAAAACATCTGGGCCATGTTTTATTATTCATAATATTTTTGATGAAACGATGTAAAGTCATTTTAGTGCGAGGTAAAACACTGAGAACTCAATCCATAAACAATTAAAAAGTTCTGGCAGGCCCAGAGTCTCTAATAATTTTCCATTCGATATCTGTCAAAGCTGCAAAATGAAAACGTTCAGTAAACCCTCATTAGCGTTCGGAAAAATGGTGGGCAGTTAAATGAAGGCCCAGATTTAGTGCTGCACCTTCGGTTATTATGCACGACATCAATGAGCATCAATAGCCTCATTAGGCAAAAACCAGCAAATGACAAATGATGGAAGATATGTTTTATTAAGAAACGCTGCAGAAGTTTCCCCCGAGGCTTGACTAGTACTGGAGGCTACTGAAATACGATTCTGTTTGATTAGGCTCTAAATATCACCGTATTACATAATTACATTATTCCATCTCATATTAATCTGTATTTAAACATTGTCACAGTCAGAGATGGTTCCAGTTTATGACGTTTTTTTTTTAGTACATTAATACATTAATTACAATGTAATTACAGGCAGTGGTTTATTTGTAATAAATGAAAACTAATTCATTTTCAAAGCCTTTGTGAGACAGTTTTCAACAGCTTGATTACTCATCATCAAATGTCCTATGATTGTGTATAAGAATGATAAGATATTATAATAATACTATTATATATTATAATAAGATATTATAAACATCAACATGATGATTTTCTGTAAAACTGCTTTGAAACAACATTGTGAAAAGTGCTATAGAAATAAATTTGCTAACCTGTATATCATACCTAAAAGCGATCTTTTACAACCTGATACAGTATTAATAAATGGTTTGGCTCTAAGCAATGCATTAGGTACTAACCAATCTGTCATACCTGTAAGCTAAACAGCTAATAATTTATAGCCATTAAAGGAACACTCCACTATTTTTGAAAATAGTCTCATTTTCCAACTCCCCTAGAGTTAAACAGCTGAGTTTTACCGTTTTCGAATTCAGCCGAAACTCTTTGGTCATTTTTGAGCGAGATGCTAACGGTCTAATCAGATTCAATAATCTATGCTAAGCTAAGCTAAAAGTGCTACGCCAGACCCGGAGATCGGCTGAATGGATTCGAAAACGGTAAAACTCAACTGTTTAACTCTAGGGGAGATGGAAAATGAGCCTATTTTCAAAAATAGTGGAGAGTTCCTTTAAATGAGCATAAAAACAGAGTTTGACGCAGTGCAGCTAGCAGCTAAACCATGTGCTGTGTTTCTGTTGATGTCCAGCAGAGCAGGGCTGGACATGAAGCATATGGTGATTGAGTTTGGATGCTGTGAATAAGGTCAGAAGACATGATTAAATTATTCCATGTGTTGAGGAACACAGACTCCACAAAAACACCTGCGCTTGGCCTGAACGCCACAGCAGAGATGCAAATCCAAGCAGAATGCACGGCAGAACCCCTTTTACTCAAATTCAGATGCACTAGTGAGGAAATGTAAAACCCAGAGCGGAGCTGGAGTGTGATCGCAGAATGCTTTAAACGCTTCTTTTGGAACTCTTTTCACTGACAGAGATAAAATATATAAACTAACTGGCCAGTTTTTGAGTGAAACATCAGTTACTCAATATTAACTCTTTCCCCGCCATTGACGGAATTTTCCGTCTTTCTGTGTTTTCACTGTTATACAGTAGGAGGTGCTATTATGCATCTTCTGAAAGAGAATACTCTATGCAATAGCATGTCTGGATCAAAACACAGCAAAAAAGAAGAAGCAGAAACAAGTGAGTGCATAAGCAGATGCATTTGTAAAATCATCATCAAACATTAAACAGCATATCAATCAAATCTGCCTAACGCTACTGAATGAAATGTCGAGGCAGGAAGTGGTTCAGGACTGCGACGCTTTGGCTGTTTTGATGGAAGCGATCGACTCCATCTGTGTTTTGATCATTGATCTGAATCCCATCCAGACGTAGTCTTTGACAAAATGCCATTTTCTCAGCTTTTTGATCAAAATGCTTTTTTTCTTCTTCTTTTTCTTTTTTTTCTTTTTGGATGAAATTTACCCACATTCAAGTGTTGATAAAAAAGAAAGAATGCATCATTTGTTTAAACGCACAGGCTCTGTTCTTTCTTTTGACATTTTGCATGTTCAGATATTCAACAAAACATTCTGGGGGCCATGAAACTTTTGTGAAAATGATAAAAAATGCTGACTGTAGCTGGAAACTTGCTGGCAGGGAAAGAGTTAATTCTTTTATTGAACCACTGTATTGCAATGTCACACTCACATTTGTGCGATAGTACTGAATACGCAAAATTCAGCCATGAATCCCATCACTGTATGCTGAAATTTAAGTCCCACCTTTCTGAAAACTCTGCTCTGATTGGTCAGCTGTCCCAGTCTGTTGTGATTGGTCAACCGTTTAGAGCGTATGTCAGAAATGCTGCGCATCCAACATTGCAGGCTCATTGAAAATTTGTGCTTGTGGCAACGTTTCTGCAACACTGATGTTACATAACTTACTGCACGTTTCACACCAGTTTCAAAGTGAAATGTCCAGTGAGTGTTGCTAAAATACATTTGTAATACCTGACCGTGGCCATGTTTTTATTGCGTTGCTTCAGTTGCTATTTTAACTTCCTTATACGCGGGGTTTGAGCTGTTTTGTCGAACTGTAGTTTCACAGGATTCATACCAGAGCACTTCACCTCACAAGTGCAACGCCGTTTCACGTGAGCTAGCGCACAAACCCTCTGTGTCAGAAAACCCATACATATGAAGCTGTACATGTGACGATAACATTCAAAAGTCCAGTCTTCAAATCTCGGAGCATGTTAAAACTGTTTTGAGGTCATAACACAGTATTGTGCAATGTGCAATTTATGTGAAAATTAGGCTTTCTTAATTGAAACTCTGGCCTGTAAATCATACTTTGTGTGAAAAGGAATAAAAGTGGTCAGAGTTTTACTGCCTCTAGTGTTCATTGCGATTTTTGGTGCGTTTTTTATAGAAATGTAGGTTGGGGCACATATTTCTAATGAGCCTGGGTAGCAATGGATCTTAGCTTCATAAGCATCTGTAAACAGCATTATATCTACAGTAACTACTGTGTTAGTTTTAGTAGTCAATACATTGTTTTATTGCCCTCACAGTGACAAAAACAGCACCTCCTCAACAGAGCAAAATCATCCAAATGTTGTTTGAGGCCTGGACAAAGCAGCCAGTAGGTGGCAATTATGTAACTGTGTAACATGATGATGTAGCCACATCACAGAAATAATGGCAGGACTGCAAACGAAGCATTTCAGGCAAGTGTTTTCTGTTGGACAAATTAACTCTCTTTGGCACCGACTTTGTGCTTTGTAACTTTACACATCGTTTGTATGCACACACAGCTATATTACTCACTAAAGGAAAGGTGGAATCAACAAAAGCACAATAGGTGCCCCTTAACAAAACGCACATGTATTTACATGAACATTATTGCAGGATGAAAAATATCGATCCTGCATGACGACATTTTGCTTTCACAGCTATAATAGCATCCTCACACACGCTGCAACCACACACAGCGCACAGATGCAAGCCTCAGGCTCACTGTGCTGATTCACCATGTCCCTTTGCATTACTTCCACACATGACTGCCCTTATACTACTCTCTCTGAGGAGACTACATAGAGGAGACTCAAGGGCAGAACTGAGCTCCTGTATTCACACATCCCACTGGGATTTCTCCCTTCTTTGTAGGCTTGGAGGGGTTGCAGAAACTTAGTATTTAGCAAAAGCACAGGTTTCTCCAGATTCTTGAATAATTTGGGCATTTTTAAATGAGCAATTTAGGGCAACCAGGGAAATAGTGAGGCATGCCATTTCCAAGTGCCAAGGGAGACTCCTCGAAAAGCACACAGTCTAGTGGGAAATAAAGCTGAGGTCTTTTTCTTTGAGTGGACATGGCAGATCACACAGAAGATGGAAGCCGATGGTTATGTAAGCTTCTTGTTTGTGTCATCCACACTCAGAGTGTTACAGAAGACGTTTTCCAGACCACATATAAGTAAGCTTTCTCACTTAATACCAGGACTGACCCTCATACTTAAATGCAGGTAATCATATGAAATGTGCAGGGATACATTATTATTATAAATGTTGAACACAAACAGATTCCTGGCAGAAGCCCAGTGGGATAGGAGTGACTAAGGATCATGTCTGTGTCATTATTCAGCACGACACATCGGCGATTGGCTGCACATCTCCTGGCACACGTCTTAAGCTGCACTCCTACTGGTTACTGCTCGGCGTGTGGCCTGAATATGTGATGTGCTGCACCCTTCCAACACGCTAAATCAACTGAATTATCATGAAACTCTAGCAAAATGAACACTGCATGCATGGTTCTAATTATGCTTGCTTTTATTACAGGAAAAGCAATAGCTTCTTAAATCGGCCCCATCAAGCCTTATGAGCTCCTCCAGTGCAGGAAAAATCAATAGCACCCACAGAAAACACACCTGGCTTTGCTTTCTTAGAGAGATCGCATGCTGACTCCCCTGGAGGAACGCCACTGAAATATTCATGCATGTAACTAGGGGAAGTAAGGTGTGATTCCTCTATTCTGAGCATGTCTCTGGGTTTTTTATTATGTGAATAATTATCTCCGCTGGACTTCTGGCCAATCCATCGCCGCACTGGTGTGGAGTACAGCATTGGTGAGTGTAGCAGCAGGCGTTTCATAATCGACAATTAGGATTGGCTTGGTTGTCAATACTACAAAAGATGGAAAAATTGCAGATCATTCGTATTTAGACGATCTCTGTGATGTAGAGAGCAGCTCTGGTGCTCAATCTGCTTTGCTTGCGTCATGACAAACTGTGTTGTAAATCAAGCCTCTTTGCATGCAGCCATCTGCTTAAGAGGCGCATAAAAAAGACTGGTGGTGCTGTCCAGGTACCAATCAACTTCTGATTGAGGGGCAGCAAGTGGAGAAAACAAGACACTGAGATTGCAGAATCTGTGTAGCCCCTAAACAAGGTGCAAACTTATCAAAGCTCTGCATGAAGCTGCTTCTAAATTCTAAGAGCACGCATCAATGCATCAATCAACAAGTCCGGATCAATGCAAGTAAACTCACCACTCGTGTTGGGGTTCGTCGATGACCAGGAGGATCTTGAACTTCCGCGACACCGCCGCAGGACTTTGCTCCACGAGTCCCGCAGAAGCGGCGGTTTGCTTCACCACGTTGGTGATGGAGCTGAAGAATCCCGAGCCGGTGGATTGGGCGGGCTGCGGTCGTCGCTCGGGGGCCGGAGAAGCAGGGGGGGACTTGGCCGCAGGAGGCGCCGATGGGGCAGGAGTCGGTCCTGCGGGGGCTTTGGTGGCAGCAGTCGGGGGAGGCGGTGGAGGTGGGTCGGGCCTCTGGAGATCCGACATGTAGCCGTTGGGCAGGTTGGCGATGAAGCTGCTGTCAGAGAGGCGACGGCGCAGGAAGTTCATGGCTAGTGAAGGTTAAACTCTGGGTTGGACGTCAACAGCGTAGCGGTTACAGTAGCCTCTTTGTGGTCTGGGATTCGCAACTCTTGTGCTGCTTCTCAAGAGCGCAGTGTTGATATTGCTGTTGAATTTCTCCGTCTTCCTCCACTGACAGCTTGAATGCCAGGATGAGATGCTCACACTCTGCCTGTGTCTCCGCTCCCTCCCTCCCTCGCTAGCTCTCTTCTCACGTGCTCCTCCTCCCCCAGTCCCTCACGATCTCCTACATCATCGCTTACGTGGCCGTACTATGTCGTACTGCAGCTGCTGAACGGGGTTTCCAATGAATATGCATGGCAGGAGGGGAGCTCCTACAGCAATTCCCCCATGCCCCCTGCCGCCTCTCCTCCTCCAGCTCCCTCCCTCTGCTCCTCGGATTGACCCGCAGACCCCGGTCTGGCAGCGCTGGGGCTGGGGCAGGGGCAGGCAGAGGGATGGAGGAATAGGTCTGCAGATGGTGGAGACACGCGTCAGCTCGGCTCTCTGGGGATCTGTGAGCGTCTTCTAAACATTGATCCTCTGCCATCATTTAGTCAATGATGCTCTCCTGAATATAGGAGCTCAGTATGTCAAGCCCATGTTGGGCCATTACTGCAGAAAATACAAATAAAATGGAAGCTGAGGAATGGTGATCACGATCAACAGTGGCATTTTACACAACCAGGCAAAAGAAATGTCATTATTACTGATTCAATCCAGCTGGAACAACATGAGGTTATGAGATTTGCTCAAGCGCTCAGTGGTGTTTACGCCACATCACACAATACTGCCCAATATACATTTATCTATTTATTAGAAAAGAGTCTTTCTAGAAAACAAAACATTTTCTTAAATCATGAAATATAAACGCAGCAGGATAACAGATGCATTAGAGCTACAATTAGCGTCATGCTACATAAGACAAATTATGAGATTTATAATATGCTTTTACTCAAAACTCACTTTAAACCACCACCGAGTGTTTGTAATAACTTACGATTGCGATCTCATGTGGATTTTGGTCATCTAATTTTGCAGAAATATTTTATTTGTAGCCTTTTATATCAAGCTAATCGCTTCACCTGCTTAGCGTTTCTCATGTAAACATCCTTTATTGTTAAGAAAGTACCCCAAATCTCATGAAAATCACATTCAAGTTATATACTATCGTACTGGTGTGTTTATTAGCTTCATGTTTCGTGTGTATAAACATTTCTTTGGGATTGATGTAATGGAAGCTCGTCATCGGAATATGAGTAACATTTGAGCAGCGAATGAGCTTCATAACAGCGATTATGGAAGAGAAAACACACTGAGGCTGTAACCATAGCAGACGGTATTGAGTGCACTCATTCAATCCCATAATGCACCGCAATAATAAGTGTACACCCGATGTACACTCACTCAACGGCTAGAGAATACCCATAATGCACCGTGAGGGTCAGGAATAGAAATGATGATTCTGTCAAAGAAATATGAAGTGAATGTAAATATATCAATATTTCTCCAAACATTGGAGGCTGTTGTCGACAACCAGAGGCTGCCGCTTCATAATTCTCTATGCAGAAAACACCCTAGCAACTGCCTAACAACATGGTAAAAAAAAATAAAAATAATTATTCTGTTTATATGAATTTTCCCTGTTGGTAAAAACTCCTTTTCATATTTTCATACATAGGCTTCAGATGATAAAATGCCCCTTCATGTCTGTATTTACTAAGAACATAAATCTACTCTGATATCTTTGTATAAATATTATTATGGGATGCTTATGTGCTTAAGTCTTATTTTGAGTTTTAAACTTCAGCACATAATTCAGACACAACAGCGGGCACGAATGCTTTTGTGCAGCCTGACAGCACTCTATAGCAGAGTGCTACAGAACGGTTAACAACCTAGCAACTATATATCAACACCATGGCAACAACCCACAACATCCTGGCATCACAGTGCCCTGCTATAAGCACAGGACCGTGTTAAAGGATGAGGGCGAGAAAGGGTTAAATAGATGTTGACTCATCAAATGTCACGGGTTTCTCAGGCTAAATTAGATGAAGATTTGCATTTATGTGCGAAGCCCAGCGGGGACAACTACACGCTGATGGCAAACAGGAAAAACAATAACGAATATGAGCATGATTGCATTGTGTCTGGTGCAATTAGTGAGATGAACCTGAATGAGATGTTTGTGGGTTTTGTGCTGTAGGTGTCGGAGAACAGCTCATTTGTGCGCTGATGGTGATGGTGTGAGTTGTGAGGCTCACGGCTGATTTCTGAAGTCACGACTGTAGTGTTGATATAGTGCTGGAGGTGTGAGTCGCAGCTGCTGACACGCTGAGCTCATTCTGACCTCCATTTTTCATGGCAGGGAGAAAATAGCACAACATCATGTGCTGCTCGAGCATATTAAAACACACCGATATCCGATTAGCCTATGATCGTACACAGTTGCGATGCAGAGAAGGTGTTGAACATTCATGCACACATGACTAGACTGAGATCAAAAACATGGGAAAATAACTGCATGCATTTTTAATATCATATATGCATGAGGCTTTTATCTCTTGCGTGAGAACAGGTTTGGAAGCTCTTATATTTTGGGTTAACTTGATAACCTTCATTAGCAAGATAAACCAGAGGAGCTACTGCTGAAACTATATTCAGTTCAAATTATTGCTGAGACAACTGCATAATAAGTCATTTGTGATTTATACTTTTTCCAATGTTTGATCCCAGCAATTCATATCTGATATTTAACAAAAACATTTTACATTGATCTATTCTATATACTCACTTATGCCTCAAAATAATTAAATCTTTATGCATGTCAACTATTTTTTCCATATTATTATTATTATTATTATTATTATGCACATTCAACATTTTTAAATGTGTGGTATTACAAAACTGAAATATTTGGTGAAAAAAGTAGGCCTGCTGTACATTAAAATGTGTGATTTTCATTCCTTAGGTACTCTATTATATTCAAAATGTCAAACTGAAAATAGATTCATATTTTCCCCTTAAACCTCATGAACTGCACATATTTTTGCATCTAGCCACATGCAACAATTCATTGCATTCTGTTTCCCCCTCATTTTTTCTATTATATTCTATTTTTATTTGTATGTAAATTGATCTTATACCATTTTTTATACCTCTAAATTATTTAAACATTTAATAAGTTAAACATATCTTTAGTTACATTTGAGCTCTTGTTTACGAACTGAATTTATGAACCAATTTTTATTTATTTTTTTACAAATTTTCCAAGCAAGCAAATGCATTCGGTTTAAAAGCTGTAATGCACAAGACAAGATGAAAATGAATTTATAGCGCTTTAAAAGGTGATTATATCGGCTGGCATAAACCCATCTGCTATAAAAGAAAATTTGCACTAGGTTGTAAACATATGGATGTGATGCTAGAATATGAAGATGCTTTCTGTGCTAAACGAGCAGATTTCATGTTCTCTGCTGGAGTGCGAATATCCTGCCTTCCCTCTCTAACGATAAGTGCTGCATTAATTATTAAGCTTAATGTCATATTTCTGAAGTTTGCGTTTATCCTAATGACATCAGCGAAGCGATCCGTCTTCACCGCAGGCGAAGTGAATGTGTCAGTAGATGCTCCAGTCTCGCGGGCTGCTTTAAGCATAGCTGGAATAAGCAGTGAATGCATCTCCATGGCAACTGGCTGTAACGCGTGAGATTGTGTTGTATTGTGTGCTTGAGGAAAGAGCTCAGGTCCAGATGCCTCTCTGAGAGCAAACTATCATCAGTTCCTGAGCAGACTTCATCTTCAGCTCTCTGCAGCACCAGACACTCGCGTGAAGAAGCACTGCAACGTGTTTTTGGGCACAGTGAGGTCATGGCATCCTCTGTCACTGCAGATTCTGAGGACATGTGATGAAGATGAGATGAGCTCGTGACCTAAAACGCTAATGCAGTCCCATCATGAAACCATGACACGAGATGATGCTCTTCTCTTTGAGCACAAGCGAAAATGCTTTTGAACCTCATTTACTGCATTCAGATTATTTACTCGCCACACAATCACTGTTTTTGTAGCCTTCAATTTCAGTGTCACTCCATTTGTATTTGCATTAATATTCAGCATGATTTGTAATGCATTCTGATAAAGAGGAATCTTGAGCTCGAGAGAGACTGTATTCAGAGAGATTCAACACAGCTCCGAGCTGTTGTCATTGCTGAATGCTGAGAGACTCGTTGCTTACCAATGCTCAGGCCTTTAGTGCTCTCTAGTGGCTGCTGATGAAAACACAGTGCTGCAACACACACACACACACGCACGCACGCACGCACACACACACACACACACTCTCTCTCTCTCTCTCTCTCACACACACACACGCACGCACCCACGCACACACACACACGGCCAGGAACCAGAAATCATGCTGATTTGCAGCTCAAGAAACATTTCTGATTATTATCAATGTTGAAAACTGTTCCAAATTTTTGTGAAAACTGTGATACATTTCATTTTTCAGGATTCAAAGATGAATAGAAAGTTCAAAAGAACAGCATTTAAAACAGAAATCTTTTGTAACATTAAACATATCTTTACTGTCACTTTTGATCAGTTTAATACATCCTTGAATAATATATATATATATATATATAACCTTACTTAGTGACCCCAGACCTTTGAACGGCAGTGTATGTACTTATCTATTTATTTATTTGGTTAGTTAGTTAGAGAAATGTCTGTCTCTGTGTTATTTTCTTAGGATTAGGGTAAAATACAACTAGGGCATGTCGTTTCACTTCCAAATAATAATAATAATAATAATAATAAAAACTACAATAACATATTCGTTGCTACTACTATAAAATTACCATAGACTGTATAAAAACATGGACGTAGTGAAAATTACAAACGGGAAAATTCTATTGTGGGACAGAATTTCCTTTAAAAAAAAAAACTTAGGCAGCAAAAATAAATAAATATGCAAAATTAAATGCAGTAAAACAGCATTTTGGAGTTCTAGAAATTTCCTTAAAGGGATAGTTCACCCAAAAATGAAAATGTGATGTTTATCTGCTTACCTCCAGAGCATCCAAGATGTGGTGACTTTGTTTCTTCAGTAGAACACAAACTGAGATTTTTAAGTCAAACCGTTGCAGTCTGTCAGTCTTATAATGGAAGTGGATGGGAATCACGGCTTTGAGAGTCAAAAAAACATACACAAACAAAACCAAATTAAACCCTGCGGCTCGTGACGATACATTGATGTGTAAAGACACGAAACGATCAGTCTGTGCAAGAAACTGACTCCCAATTGAGATTGTAGATAGAGTGTCAATGGTCCATTTGAGAGATAGGTGGCTGTAATGCACTTATAAGTCTGCGATCCGCCGTAAAGCAAGAAGAAGAAGACGACGCGTCACACTCCGGCTGAAGAAGAAGATGCTCAGGACAGTTCAGACAAAATCAGAGGTAAAAAATGATATAAATACTGTTCAGTTTCTTGTACAGACCGATCGTTTTGTGTCTTTACACATCAGTGTATCGTCACGAGCCGCAGGGTTTAATTTGGTTTTGTTTGTGTATGTTTTATGACTCTCAAAGCCGTGATTCCCATCCACTTCCATTATAAGACTGACAGACTGCAACGGTTTAAGTTAAAAATCTCAGTTTGTGTTCTACTGAAGAAACAAAGCCACCTACATCTTGGATGCCCTGGGGGTAAGCAGATAAACATCAAATTACATTTTTGGGTGAACTATCCCTTTAACATATATAATGTTAAAAGGGATAGTTCACCCCAAAAACTACATTTCTTTCAATTTACTCAACTTCATATTGTCCCAAACCTTTATGACTTCCTTTTTTTCTGTGGAACAGAATATCTTTTGAAGAGTGTTGGTTACCGAGCAGTTTTGGCTTTCATTTGTGTGTGTGTGTGTGTGTGTGTGTGTGTGTGTGTGTGTGTGTGTGTGTTCCTCCAGACCGCACGGTGGCGCGAACTGCTCACTGAATAGCCAGCGCTCTGTGGATCTTGACGATGAAATTGTCTTTCAAAAGTAGCTGCTTCTGTGCTTCTAACATCGTTAAAATATTCAGCAGACGAAAAACAATTAGTTATCGATATTGTCACTCATCCTAATCGTTCCTGGCACCTCGCCGCGTGTTTCAGCGCTGCTTCTGATGAGGTTTGATCGCTCTGAGTGAGCTGGAGCGCGATGTCCGCGATGACTCCAGCTCTGCAGAACAGCAGTGTCTTCTACAGGCGCGTGCTGAGCCGCTTTCCTCAGGACATCAGTCTGGCGTTTGCTTACGGATCCGCGGTGTTCAGACAGACTGGAGGGCAGATGGGGGTAAGAAACAGAGCTTTAAGCGACTGTCATTGAGCTCCAGCCGCGGTCAATCCTCCGTCAGGCTGTCTCTGTGTGCAACACCACGCTCTTTGGTTTGTGTTTCAGAAGAACATGCTGGACTTCGTGTTCGCTGTGGATGATCCGGTCACATGGCACACCATGAACCTCATGGAGAACAGGAAGCATTACTCTTTCCTCAGATACCTGGGGCCCAAACACATCAGCAGCATACAGACTGACTATGGAGCTGCAGTTTACTTCAACACCCTCGTCCCTGCTGAAGACAGGGTATGAAACTCTATTTGGCAGATCTGTGATTGTATGCTTTATCTATCTATCATATTTCACAAAATAAAACGGAGCAAATAAAGTGTAATGATAATAAAAACAGTATTCTTCCACCAAACAATGTAGCTCCTCAGAAACAGTTGTGGTTCTAACAAAGTGGTTGCCGAGCAACACACAGAAGTAAACAAAGGTGTATGTTACTTTGTAGAGTCATTTACAACAGCTTCGAACACGGCTCAGCCAATCAGAATCAAGCACCGGAACTATACGCTTTATAATAAAAGATCAAACTAAGAGCGCAGAATATGAACGCAGTGCTCAGTTTTATGTTAAGCGTTTACCTCCCACTGCAAAAAGTGATAACGTGTTGTAGTTGTCAGGCTGTTAAAGAGCTATTTCTACCTGCTCTTATGCTTAAATTTAGTTTTGTTAGTGGAAGATATTTATAATGTTAGGCTTAAGTAACATTTTAAACATAAAAAAAAAATTATGCATTTAGATGTCACCACAGGAAGTGCATTTTTAGATTATCATTTCGTTTAATGTGGCTTTAAAGACCAAATTCAGTGCGCGCTCGCCACATGGACATTAAAGCTGCAGTGAATTACTTTGCTGCACCAAAACGCTCATAATGCAGCATATATAGAGTTATTCATTTAATGTATGTTTTTCTCCAAATTGTATTTATTTTTTACTGTTTTTTTTATTTTATTTTCTTACTGCAAGACATGAATTTTGCTTGTATAATTTCTTTTCTACTACTAGCGATGCTTATGTAGTGTTTGAACTGAGACATGCTCTGGCCATTAGCCTACATGAACTGTAATGAGCTTACTATCAAACTAAATATGTAGACCGGGGGCCTATAACAGATGTTTGTGTTATTATTGCTGAAGGATGTCCTCCTGCTATTGCTAAAATAACAATCAAATCAGAGCAGCGGCACTTTCGCCTTTATTCCTGCAGGGATTTCAGTCTGACTAAAGAGCAGTATCAAAATCACTACACACATTATTCAGCCTATATAATTATTATATCAAATGCATCAATGCAATGATAATTCACCTCATTCATTACTGTTAAATCAGTTATGTAAATGGGGAGATGGACTCAGTAGTATGTTGCAGCAGGTGCACAATAAATCTTCATACATGACATCACTGCTGGTGGGAGGGGCCCCATCTCACTTCTTTAAGAAATATTCATTTCTTACCAATCCCAAACTCCTGAACAGAAGTATATAGTCCAAAAAAAAAGGAAATGTAGTTTGTTTGATGCACTGAAGTCGTGACTTGTTTGCAGGTGATCAAGTACGGTGTGATCAGCACAGATGCTCTGATCGAGGACTTGCTCCACTGGAAAACCCTGTATGTAGCAGGCCGGTTACACAAACCTGTGAGTATCTCCTCCAGCTGATGAGATCAGCCGCTTCATGCTGCAGTTACACAGAGACCAACGGATGCAGAAACTGAACACGCGGTCCTCCACACCTCCAGAGCACTTCTGGACCTTTTTGACTCCAGTTATTGTTGTTTACTGTCAAGGCCCATGACTTTTATGGTTATGGATAAGGATTTTACAGATATTATTACTCACCATTCCTGCTCGATAAAATAATTTACAGCTTGACGTGACTAGAAAAATGTGTATTCGTTATAAAAATTCCCATGGGGTTATAAGATTTGTATAATTTACATGACTTTTCCAGGTCTACAAATCACACTTTGAAAAGGAGGCTTCCTTATTTATCCAGGTTAAAAAAAAAAAGCTTTATACAATACTGATTGTGTCAAAGCAGCTTTACAGAGTCAAACAGGAACATAGTTTGTCAGTGATGCAAGAGGACAACAATAAAGAGTCATTTCTCCAGCTAAAGTCAGTTTTGTGTCGTTTGAAATAATTTTGAGTCCTCTTGAGGCCCCTTGGTTGAGGCCCACTAACACTTCCTAATAAAGATCACTCCTGTATGGTCATCTCCATCTTAATTGGTCTCCATATGCTTTTTAAAATAAATCTCTATGTATTAAGTGACGGTATATTTTGCAGATAAGGAGCTGTCTTTCAAATGCATTAGCTCATCAGTAGTAGATGTGTTTAGAAAAGTTGTCACTGGACATTTGTTGAGCAAATGCAGGTTTGCAGTCAGTGAAAGTGTTAATTTTGGACACTTTCAGTGTTTGATACTCAGTGTAGAGAAGCCCGCTGTCAAATCAGTGTTCAAGCGTGAGTAACTACATGTCAGTCATGTTTTTCCCCTCTCTCTAGGTTCGAATTCTGCTCCAGAGTGAGCATGGAAAACTGCGGGCCGCTCTCGTACGGAATTTGAAAAGTGCCGTGATCGCTTCTTTTCTCATGCTGCCGGAAAGTTTCTCCGAAGAAGACCTGTTCCTCCAGATAGCAGGCTTGTCCTACTCTGGTAAATGTTTTTTTGCGTTAATTTTACATTTTTACCCAAAAGTGTTTTAAAGTGATACTCACTAGCAACATGCTAATCATGTAAACAACATGCTAGGAACACCCTAGCAACCGCCATGGGTACCCTAGCAACGGCATAGCAACACCCTAGCAACCGACCCGGGTACCTTTGCAACCGCATAGCTACACCCTAGCAACTGCCCCGGGTACCTTAGCAACCGCATAGCTACACCCTAGCAACTGCCCCGGGTACCATAGCAACCGCCCCAAGTACCCTAGCAACCGCATAGCAACACCTTAGCAACCACCCCAAGTACCCTAGCAACCACATAGCAGCACCCTAGTCTAAACAATTCCTCAAGCAACTCAATGTATTCTTCCTCGTCTTTGTGTAGGGGATTTCAGGATGGTGATCGGCGAGGATAAATCCAAGGTTTCCAACATCGTGAAAGAGAACATGCCGCATTTCCGGAAGTTATATAACAGTATTCTTCAAGAGTGCCCGCAGGTGGTGTACAAGCCTCAGCAGGGCCGGCTGGAGGTGAGACATTCATCCTGAGCTGGAGTTCTGTGTTCCTGCAGACTGTGCTGTTTTCCTCTGAGGCGAGGCGAGGCGGTTCTCCCCCGTCCAGGAGACATGAGCGGAGGCTGTGGCCCTTTTCTGACAGATTCAGTCATTCGCGTAAGCTACAGGAGAGCTAAGGAGGCCAATCCCACAAAAACAAGCTCTTTTGCACTAAGCATATATGAAAGCTGCTTTTAGCATCATTTGGATGTTTTACATTATTGTCATATGCACGTTTTCTCCATAATTCACATGACCAATGCAGTAATTCATTATTTTCATCAATCTGAATGCGTTTGTAGATTCCAAAAGCGCTGTTTAAATAGACCCTAAACTTTGCAATCCAGTTCTATTAGTTAGTATCAGATTTATGTCACAGGAGCTAGCTGTGAGCATAATCAGTGTTTTGGCTTTGATTACATATCTAAATGTGCGTCAGCAAAGCTTTTGAGCAAGTATTCAGTCTCCTCCACTGACCTGCTCGTCACAGTACTGAATCGAGAAATTACTCAAATTCAGTGGTTAATATTTTCCTTTTATTTCTTCATTTTCCTAATATTTTCCTCATTACATAACTATTACTTTAAGGAGTTTTATCTGCTCTGCATCGTGCCTAACAATAGGCTATACCGTCTGTTTATTCTAAGCTGTTTATTCAAATACAGTATGTGGAGCACAAAAATATCAAGCTATTTCTTGCAAGTACTTTTAGCGTGATTGCATTAACCCACCAAATCGTTTGACAAACAGTCACATATCAGTAACAGGCTAATGTTGCATTACATCTCACGTTCTTTGCAGCTAATTCATTACGGTGACATAAAATATTGTGATCGAGTGTACAGGTAATAAAAAATGAATTCATTGTCTCATCCGTGAACATGCCTTCGTTATTGTTTTGAAAATGCGACCTCTAGCGGTGAAAACTTATATATTGTGCCCACTTAAAACCTGGAAAAGTCAGATTTTCATGATATGTCATTTTTAAGAATAAATAATGAGGATGCATAAAATACAGTGCAGTTGTTCTAGCACAGCTCCAGTGTATTTATTCAAGATGTCTGCATGTTTTCTGTTTTCTAGGTGGACAAAAGCCCGGAGGGTCAGTTCACGCAGCTCATGGCTCTTCCTCGCTCTCTCCAGCAGCAGATCACGCGTCTGGTGGAGCGTCCCGGGAAGAACAGAGATGTGGAGGAGATCCTGCTGCAGGTGGCACAGGACCCAGACTGCGGCTCCGTCGTACAGCAAGGTCAGGGACGATGGGAAATGTCAGGCATGTCCACCTGCGATGCAGCCACTACACGTACTATAACGTCTGATAAACCGCGAGCCACACCGGAGAGCTTGAGCTCTTTTGAAATAAACCATTACACAAGACGAATGAAAGAGCAAATAAGCAGTGGTTTTCACAGAGACTCGCTGAACTGGCCGGCTAGGTTTTGGCGGTGTTGAGTTTCTCCAGCGGCCTCACCCACATGTCTCTTTGTCATAATAACCGTCAGTGCATTCCTCACAAACACCTGCGCGAGCTCACGTGCTACACTTCACTTTTATGGGAAGCTGGAAGAGCATTTGCATCTGATCTGATCTTCTCGACACATCACAGTGCCTTTGCAATGACAGTAGAGTCTTGATTGACTGGATGTTTGATTGAGTTCAAAATGTATTTTAATAATTAAAAAAAAAAAGTTTCTCATGTGCATCTCTCAGTCACTGTGAGTAATCTCTCAAGGCTCTTAAATGACCGGTTCTGTTCATAAAACCGACAGATATTGAATGATATTTTGGTCTGTCACTATTCAGAATGCATTGCATCATTTGAATCCACTGTGTAGTTACATTCAGTGTCACTTACATTTCATTTAACTCGAATATAATTAAGTTGTAACTTTTTTTTTAGTTATGTAATACTTAAATTGAATAAACTTATTCACTAATAGCTTTTTAAAATGATAGCAATTCTGCCTGCTGTTGGCTTGTTATGATTGCTAAATGATGCTTTGTTGGATGAATCATACGTAATTATGCTTTCTTCGCAGGAATTTCATCAATCGTGAAATCCTCCAGCATAACGCAGAGTGCCAAAGGAATCGCCACCGCTGGTAAAGGCCCTTTCGATTTCATAGTTTTGTCACTGATTTTTGAGGTGTTGTATTCAAAACTGTGAAATGAATGGGAGAAGATCTCTACAGTGTTCCAGAACACGCATGTAACATTTCAGTGGACTCTCTCTCTTTGATCTTTGTTCATAACTATGATATAATCATTTTCTTAGATGTTCTCAAAGCATAACTCAATACTTCATAATAGATTGAAAAATATAAACTTCAGAAATGTTGACATACTGTATGTCTTGATAGAAGGGGTTAATAATAATAAAAAATAGTCAATTTGATCACAATACCAGATAAACATTACAGAATCAGACTTTTAAATTAGTGCTGTCGAACGATTAATCACGATTAATCGCATACAAAATAAAAGTTTTTGTTTACATAACGTGTTCTGTGTATATTTATTATGTATATATAAATACACACAGATACAGTATATATTTTGAAAATATATTTACATGTCTATATTTATATTCATATAATTTATATGATAAATATATTTAATATATAAACATAACATATTTTTCTGAAATATATACATGCATGTGTGTGTATTTATATATATATATAATAAATATACACAGCACACATACATATATTATGTAAACAAAAACTTTTATTTTGCATGCGATTAATCGTTTGACAGCACTGTTTTAAATATAATTATTATTTTTAAGGTCCGTTTAACAGCAACACCAGGAAAATGACTATTTAATGCATGCGTGATGTGCTGAATATGATTATTTTGTCTGTACCCTTTTCTTAGAGCTGAAATCTTTGGTACTTTTGATTTTTTTCTACTCCCAGAACTCGATCACTTTTGGCATTTTCTGAATTGTGATTTGCAGAAATGTATTTTCTTCAGGTGTATTAGTGAGTGACAGGACTGCTGTTGAAACTCTTTCCGCAGGTCTCGTCAAAACAGTGTCATACAGCGCAAAAAAGCTGCAGAAAATGTGGAGAGGCTGGCGCAGAAGACCATCATGACTGACAGCAGTTGTGTCAAATATAGTGTTATTTCCACAGTTATTTATTGACAATCTAAGTATGAAGCTGACTAATGACTGAAGCAGTGATTCGTTCTCGTTCTGTAATGCACAATATTCCTGAGAAAATGTCAATAAAGGTTTCTAAGTGTGTTTGTTAAGTGTCTTTTTTCATTGGCGGACTTCCCCTTCACCTTGTACCTGTTGCAGGGATGTGACGTCACGCGCTCATTAGCATAATGCATGCTGATCTCATTCCGCTGACCTCGACCAATGGGAATGCTCGACTCCCATCACCTGCTAGGAAGAGAATTCCATCATTCCGCGCATTCTTCCCGGCGCTCGCGCTACTCTGGATCTATCGCTGTCTGGGGCTCTCAGCTCGAGATCTTTCATCGACTTTGCGATTGGCGAGATTTCAAAGTGGCGCTACAAGGTGGGATGTAGTTTACATGACTCTAAACCGCTTGTTTTTTTGTTTTTTTTTTAATATATGCAACACTACATATATAAGTGAGAGTGAATATATATGTGCTTTATGATCATTGCTGTAGTGGGAACCATTGTAATCAAGGAAAGCGCTCCTGCGTCTCAAAGACAGCACTTGTTACAATGCAACGCCTCCCGCTGAATGATTTACTACCCGATACAAGAGTGTTCTGGAATCTGTGAGTTACTGCAGTTTCATATGCGACCACATTAATAAGTAACGCTAGTAAAACATTGATAACTTTCTCATGTTTAACGCGGCAACCGAGGCGACGCAACTAAAACGCAACGCTCTCGTTATGACGCGCTGCAGCCGTAATAATAAACGAAGCGTGCGTGTTTTTATTGTAACTTGGTAACTTTGCGCTCGCTCCAGAAGTCGTGTGGAAGTCTCTCAGCCGTGCTGGGGCTCTGGAATGCGCTCTGTGGAATGGGAAGTGTGGGAAGTGCTCCAGACCTCACATGTTTGCAGTGCTTATTCTGGGAATGCATGAGAAAACATGACATGCCACGAACCGCGTTGTGGCACAGCGCTTCCCAGTGCTGCGAGAATGAACACAAATGCATGTGGAGTTGATTTCTGAACCGAGTTTAACAGTCTGATTTTCCCTGCTCAGGGTCTGACCCAGGATGGAGACGCCTTTGGATGTTTTGTCAAGAGCAGCATCTTTAGTGCACCAGGATGATGAGAAACGTGAGTTTACCAAAGTATTCCATTTCAGACTGAAGTCGTTTTTACCTCGTTGTTTTCCTGTAGGCTATGGGTTCGATTCCCAGCGAATGCATGAGTGCAAAAAAAAAAAATAAAAATATTGAATGCATAATGCAATTCAAGCCGCTTTCTCCATTTCAGACTGAAGTCGTTTTTACCTCGTTGTTTTCCTGTAGGCTATGGGTTCGATTCCCAGCGAATGCATAGGGAAAAAAAAAAAAAAAAAAAATATTGAATGCATAATGCAATTCAAGCCGCTTTCTGCCAAATGCATAACTGTAAATGTTTAATTGTAGTATGACCAATCATTGTTTTATTTCTGCCTTTTGATGAGATGTTAACTCAATATTAATTGCATTCCTCTTCCTTGTAGTTTGAAAGTATTGCTCATAGAGTAAGCGATCTCTGCTGTGTTTCCATAAGTGAGGCTCATGGCTTGAGTCTGTGTTTGTCCTGTGATCATTTACATGAGAGATGCCCTTCGCTGCAGCTGTCTTCAGCTTAATGCACTGATGTATGATAGCCCAGCACAGGAGCCTTATGGAACTTTGAAAAGAGCCTTGCTGTTTGCTGTCACATGTCCCGTGTACTCCGGCCAGTCCCTCCCTGGGCTGCCATGAGCTCTGCAGTGCTTTCCATCAGAAATTCCTTCCTAGATTAAGCACCAACAAATCCTACTCAACAGGCGTTTAGTGTTAGTGGAATTCATTGTGTAACATCTACATGTTGCAGCGGCCCGTTCCGTGTGGATCTGTTGGGCTTGTGTTGACAACGCAGAATTTGGTTAGAAGCACACAATGTGGTTTGCAAGCAAGGTGATTTTCTCCTAAACATCTTCAAAGCTGCTAGACTCACCAAACTGAACTTCCATTGGTCAAACACACAGATGAACCAGTGCTGCTGTGCTCATCTGCTGAATCAAATCGAGAAACGTTTCAGTAGCTTCACAGTGTTTGAATTCGCTGGAAATGTGCTCACCCTCAGTCCGTCACAGATCAGGATGAGTTTGTGTCTTCATCAGGTTTGGAGAAATGTAGCACTGCATCAGTGTCTCAGCAATGGATGCTCTGCAGTGAATGGGTGCCGTCAGAATGAGAGCTGATAAAAACATCACAATAATCCACAAGTAATCCACAGCACTCCAGTCCATCAGTTAACATCTGGAGAAGACAAAAGCTGAAACACATCCAGCATTAACACGTTTTTAACTAAAACACGAGTCCATAATGTCCAGTGAAAAGTGGTCTGTTCTGAATCAGGAGAGAAATCTGCACAGATCAAGCAGCGTTTAAACAGCTCTAAACAAATATGTGGCTGGATTTTGATGTGAGGGACAACAGGAGATGCACTTTTATAAAGCGTTATTATGAATTGTGGACTCAACCGGAAGTGACGGTTTGATTTAACATCTGGAGAAGACAAAAGCTGAAACACATCCAGCATTAACACGTTTTTAACTAAAACACGAGTCCATAATGTCCAGTGAAAAGTGGTCTGTTCTGAATCAGGAGAGAAATCTGCACAGATCAAGCACCGTTTACAAAACAGTCCAAAACAGCTCTAAACAAATATGTGGCTGGATTTTGATGTGAGGGACAACAGCAGATGCACTTTCATGAAGCGTTATTATGAATTGTGGACTCATCCGGAAGTGACGGTTTGATGTAAAAAATGTCTTAATGCTGGATTTGTCTCAGCTTTTGTCTTCTCCAGATGTTAACTGATGGACTGGAGTGCTGTGCATTACTTGTGGATTATTGTGATGTTTTTATCAGCTGTTTGGACTCTCATTCTGACGGCACCCATTCACTGCAGAGCATCCATTGCTGAGACACATTTTACATTAGGTCACTTGAGTTTACTCCTAAAACCAGAACTCTCCTCTAGCGCCTTCTGAAACTTTTGTGACTGAACTGAAGCGGAGCGAGAAGGAAACTGGGTCATCATGTCAGAGCATGTGTGTTCAGGCATGGCTTGCTGCAGTGACGGTGGATGTGCATCTGGGACTGCCCTTGTGTTTCTTCCTCCCCCTGCTGTGTTTTTGTTTAGCGGAGGGCTGATGTCATGTCGTTGTGCTTGTGAGTGTGTGTGTGTGTGTGTCTTTGTCCCCTCACAATGCGTCTGACCTGTTTTCACAATAGTGCTGGCGCTGCGAGCTCCTCCTGCTCATTTGCAATTATCACAAGCCTCTGGAATCGTTCTGACTGCTGAACACTTGAAGAGAGAGCGGTGACTCAGTGAGGCGCGCGTTCGGCCCAGACTCGTGCGTTTACAAGCCACGGCAGCGCAACAACTTATTTCATGAGATGGGAGAGCACAATTACACAGAAGGTGTGGTTCTCTTTGTCAGTCCGAGTCAGGTGACGGCTTGCATTCGGCTGCGCGCTCGAGGCAAAACAGCCCAATCACACCATATCCTCTAAAAGAGTCACACAAACACATCCTGCTTATGCTGTCTAAATCTCTTGTAAAGTAACTCGGTTTCTCAAGGCTAAGAACGCATCCAGACTAACTGCAGTCTTCTAGAAAGAGTCATGTTACATTCTGTCGTCAGACGAGTGCCAAAAGTCTAAAAGTTCTCATTCAGAATTGATTTTTAGTAACAGCCATTTAAATACAAACCTACCTTGAGCTCGGAGGTGAAGTGATGCTTCTGCTGAATCAGTGGGATTTTACATTTATTTATTTATTAATTAAAAAAATGATTTCAGGAGCCAAATTAATGGTGACGAACTACATTATACAAGAGAGATCCACCAATCAAATGCATTGCTTTTATCATGAAAACATAGACCTAAATCATGACAAAAGAACTCGATAGCACTGCCCACTTCCAAAAAGCAAGTTATGGAGTCAGTAAGATTTTTTTATTTTATTTTTTTTGGAAAGAAACATACTTTTATTCAGTAAGGACACATTAAATTGATCAAAAGTGACAGTGAAGACATTTATAATGATAAAAAAAGATTTATATTTGAAATAAATGCTGTTCTTTTGATATGTCTATTTATCAGAGAATCCTGGAAAATAAAATGTATCACGGTTTCCACACAAATATTGGGCAGCACGACTGTTTTCATCATTGATAATAATCAGAACTGTTTCTCGAGCAGCAAATCAGCATATTAGAATGATTTCTGAAGATCATGTGACACTGAAGACTGCAGTAATGATGCTGAAAATACAGCTGCGCATCACAGAAATACATTACATTAAAATTGTAATAATATTTCATGGCTTTTACTGTATTGTAGGTGTGGGTTATGTATGCAAAAAAACATGATATTTGGTCCAATTCTCACTATTAACTAATTGTTTATTAGTATGCATACTAAAATATTGGCTGTTTATCAGTACTTATTAGGCACATATTAATGCCTTATTCTGCATGACCATATTCTAGATCCCTTAACCCGACCACATACCTAAACGTAAATTAGGAGCTTAGGGAGGGAAAACTCTTGGTTAATAGTGAATATGTGTTCCCTGATCTAAAGTGTTATCTGATATGCTTAATTATGGTTGATAATGACATAGCACAATATGCACAGATTTTTCAGGAAAGTGAGTGAGCCGTTCATCAGTCAGTTAGTGTGCTTAGAGCTCAAAGAACGGCTCTCAAACATGAGCGTCTAATGCTAAAAACAGGTTTTGTGTCAGTACACACCTCCTCGAGGGCTCTTGGGTCGTTTCAGCAGCACACACGTGTGTGAACCCAGGTTTTTTGGGTCAAAGGTCACTGAAGTCAGGCGCACATCATTGTTGTTTGTCAGCTGTTGTTCTGACGGATTCCAGAAAGAAAAGGCTAGCAGCAATGTGAAAAATATAGACTGGCTGCGCATCACAGAAATACATTACATTAAAATTGTAATAATATTTCATGGCTTTTACTGTATTGTAGGTGTGGGTTATGTATGCAAAAAAACATGATATTTGGTCCAATTCTCACTAT